CCCCCACCCACCTATCAACCCAAGAATGACAAATGTGACCTGATGGGATCCTTATCCTGATCAGGTGCTACTTTTGTCAGCTAATGGGCCCTCAAATGCCAGAAAAACTTACAACATCAAATGAGAATATGCTATGTCATCCTCTGTTTTTGTGCAACTATCACCATATGGATATATTTCTGTATCCTTTGCTGCTAAACAAATTTTATATTCTGTAACTTATGTGGTATTTTCCCTTCAATACTATCACTACTCCATTGTGATACCACGAAAACTAGTGTCAGATAGGATGAATATGAATGTACAAGAATCTAAAAAGATACATGAGGGAATTCAGGGAATTAACGGGAAAAGAATATAGGGGATATCTGGCATTCGACCACAGAAACTCTGTTATAGATGATGAGAGAAAAAATTGTTTCAATGGCGTATGCACACAGCCTGCTACAGGACTCTGGACGGTCAGGAACATGGAACTGAAACAAATTATGGTCTAAAAGGAAAGGAACTAGACTTAACAATTTTCAAGTTGCTTCTATTGGCAGATGTTTCAGAAGTTCTTCAGTGGGAATTGGAACAGGAAATGACTGACTGGGTTGGTACTCTAACTGGTAAGAAAAACTAAGACACTGTAAATTCCAATGTCTAAGACAGAAACACCTGGAATGGTAATGATAGGGGAAGGGGAGAAGGTCCTAAGATGTCCTAGAGACTCTGGTGAACTAGAAGGTGGCAACCTTCCAGGCAGAAGACAGAACTCTGCCAATGTTTTAGGTATGAAAAGATGTGACAAATGAGCTAAGAAATGTTTTAATTTTCATTGATCTGATTCTCTCAGTTGAGGGAAGAGGAGTGTGTATAGGGACTATCATAGGCAAGAAACATGAAGTTTTTAATTGTGGGGCTGTTTTAACATGTTTGAGCTCCAGTCTTTGTTTTCACAGACCTTTCATCTAAAACAGAGCTGTGTGGTTTTTGCCAGCCACCTTTTCTTTTAATTTTCAAAGATATAGTCTCAAAAATTATTTTCTATTTGGAATAGATATCTCCCAAGTGGGAGATCAGGAGTACTTGAGACATGAAACTTCTATTGGTAAAAGTAAGAAGAAACTTCTTTTTGAGATTGACTTGAAAGATAGATGACTATATGCACTGTATTAAACCAGGTAAAAATATGTGAATATTTGGGCTTTGTCTGAAAGTTGTAACATATTTTTCATCATTTCAGTATGATCAATAGTCTCCATATACACGAAAGTGAAATGATCTCTAGACAATTTAACTGAAATATTAAATAACTGAATAACAGGTTCAGATATAATTTTGTAGAAGTAGTGGATGACTCGGTGGATAGGAGCCAAAAGAAATAAAGGGAGAAAGCCTGGCTTCTTTAAGGTTAAAAGTCTGGTCAGTGTCCCCTGTCGGGAGAAACAGTCCTCCATGGGTCTCTCACTCTTCTGCACATCTTGCTGAGCATGCCAGGAATGCACGGCCTTAACCATTTCTCAAGGTTGTGTTTGGCACAAGAAACCTTGAGGGACGAGGCAACGTCTCCCTTGAAACAAAAAACAGGCTTGCATACTTTTGGCTATAAAATGGTGCAGATTTCCCAAGCTCAGAGTTCCTGTGCTATAATACAATTCACTGCCTATGCAGGTATTCATCTGGGCCCTTGGCAAAACTCCCTGTGCCCCCCACAATGGGACCACAGGGCAAGGAGGGCACAGACACAACATGCTCTCTACACCAAGGGTCATAAAATCCTTTGTCTCTGACCCAGATCTCTCGTGTCTTCTGCCAGCATCCATGAAACAGTAACAGGTAAACCTATTAGCTGGTAAGTTGGGTAGAATCAAACCCCAGGCCCAATACCTTCCCTGCCCAACCCTTTTGGTTCAGTTTAAAGTCTTCCACTGAGGCCATGACCTCTCTGCTAGGGGTGGGGTGTTTTTATGTGAGCATGAAGATATGGTATTTGAATAGGAACTCTCTCCCCACCCCCAACCCCTGGTTCCTTCAACAGACTTAGAAAAAAGAACCTGTACTACTCAGTTCCTGAATGAAAAAGAAAAAGAGAAAAGAACAAGGGAGCGTCTGAACAAGGTGAAGAAGAACAAGGTGCTTCCTGTCTGAAAAGAAATGCTTATTGTATATATAAAATGATAACCTCCACTGTCACCAGCCCCCAAGCAGAGAACTAATTTGAAGCACTGAAATTCTCTGGACGGTATGGGATAGGACCACCCTTGGCAAAGACCAGGCAGTTAAAAAAAATTACAAGTCCAAGCTCCCACCCAAATACAAACAGGAAGCCCAATGCTTAGTCGACCTGTTTGGATTTCGGCAAACCATATTCCCCACATGGGATTCCTACTGAGTCCAATCCACCAAGCAACAAGGAAGAGAATGACTTTGTGTTCATATCTGGGGTGACCATGCAGTTACCACAGAATGAAAAATTGGACAACCATGCGGTGTTTTAATTTCTGCAAAAGTTCAGATGTCTGGGCTCAAGCTTTCTGTCATTTGTAACTTGCTAAATTTAAAGTTTCAGAGTGTTTTATATGAGATTAAAAACGTCTTTGGATGGGCCAAAAACATCTGGAACTTATTTATAAAGGTACTGTAAGATTTCTATATCTATTATGATGTAAAACTACAACTGAAATAGATTACATAGAAACACACACTGTTGTATACGAATTACTTCTTGTGTAACCTGGACGATATTAAGAACCACAGAAATTGCTCCCACGTCAACTTTTTGGGTACTTTTAAAAATCTCTGATAATTCTTGATATTATTTGGATTATGTTTTGGGACATTTTGAATTAGCTTTTGGAAAGTTAGACTAATAAAACACTGAATTAATGAATATTTCTCTTTCATTAAAGATCAGATGTAGGATTCTGCTCGTATGAAATCCTGCGATATTGCTTCATGTTCCCCTAGAGGGAGGCTAGAATTTTGTTTTTCTTTTCAGGCAGCTAAGGAGGCCAGTGAGATTGACAAAGGGGGAGTCTGAACTTGTATGTTCAGGAACGAATGCCAGATGTTTAGGCAGAGGGTAATAAAGAGAAACACATGCTGTAATAGGGCAATATATAACATGGTACATTAAAATCTGTTATGGGGGAAATTAATAAGTTTCCCTATAAGAACAAGAGCAAAAGAAACCTAATTAAATCAGAAATGTTAACATGACCCTAGGAAATTTTCTTTGTCATGAAAGAAGTTCTCCCTAAGGGCTCATGTGAAACAATATAAATTATATCCCTAGCACCGTGTCTCTGTATCTAATATTATTCTCCCACTCCCGAGAGGATTTTAATTCCTGATTCTCCTCAGGGATACAGATCTGCCTTACCCTCTGAGTGAGGTGTGCCTTTAGGTTCTCTAGTTTTGGTTATCATTTATAGTGAAGCCCTTTTTGATGTTAAATACAGGAACAAAATCTTCCTTCCTTGAGGATTAAATGAATTTATAAGAAAGTTGATCCAAAGTTTCATTCCTGGACTCTGGGTTGTTGTTAGATGTTGTTTTCCTCCAGTGCATATTTTAAGTACAAACCTGAATTTCATTGGGTTAAAATTGTACTTCAGCAGGAAAAGGAAGAGGCAGCCTCAGGTCAGAGAGAAAATGGCTATCCTCCCAACAAAAGCGGCTTTCCACGACCTGTAAATTCCACTGAGACTTCTCTAGCAGTATGAAACAAATTTCATGATTTAGACCCAGACTACCATCCGACTGAAGGCACTTCCCCTTAGGAATATGTTTTAATTCTTCCACATAAGGATACATTTTGTGGGAAAACTGGGAACAAGAATTGCCCCCTTTGAAAAAGAATGCAGAGAATAATAAGAAGCTAATTTCTAGGTACCACACATCTGGAATATCATGAAATTGGTAGCAAAGAATCAGGAAGAGATTGCAAATACCAGAAAAATATAAAAACCAGAAAACACAAACATAAAAGAAACAGAAGGGAAAAAGTCCAAGCTAAAGCAGAAAGAAATGCTACAAGAATTTTTAAAAATTATAAAGTACTTTAAAGACAAAGTACTTAAGGGCACATGAAGAACCTTCTATAATAATCATCCGAATCTGAATAATAAACTGAAATAGTCCCCCTTGGCACACTGTAAAGCATGCAATTTTAATTATGTGATTTTTCTAGCTAATTTCTGCTTCAAAAACAGTAAAGTACTTCTGCTTACAAGGTGGCAGAGACAAGAACTTTTCTGAACCTCTCATACACACGTTATCAAAATTTAAATTAGTAGAAACATGCCTTTGAGTTAAATCATAATTAGCCCTTAGATCTATTTATTGAGAACCCACTATGTGCCCAACACTGGTGGTGTATGCTAAACAGCAGTTTACGTTTATAAAGCACTTGTCCCTTTTCAGGTTCTCACAAATGACATTTTAAAACCAACTATTTGTTTTTCAGCATTAACTACACGGGCTGAATACATCTATTGTTAGAAATGGCTCCTACTCAGGAGAGTCTCTGTTTTTAAAAGATAAAATATATCCAGTTGTACTTGTGTATATATATTTTACATGGTTATGTATGGAAGTCAATCAACAATGATAAATACAGACTGTCTAACAAAATAAAACAATTTTTGGGGAACAGAAATGGCACATTTGTCAGGAGATGTCCACAAATAATTAATTACTTTCACACAATAAAGATATTCTCTTAATCCTAGAGTCTCATAAGAGGATCTCATTACTTTCTAACCATCTGTCATCACTCCTCCCCAAAAAACTAATTAGGGTTTCATCCAATCACACATTATAAATCATGCAAATGTGGATGGCAAAAAACACAGTTTAAAGAAGTTAACATTATAACATTTTGTATGCTAAAAATCACAGGCTTCAGAACTAGCCTTTCCTGCTCTAATAATTACCCAGCTTATTTTTCTCATCTTTTCCTGATTATTTGATATTAAACTTAGAAAATTAAATTTAAAAAAAGAAAAACTTACAGATAGTAGAGTTTTCCTGCAGCAGGAAGCTCCCTTTTCCGGTAGTCAATCCCAGAATCTAGCTGGACCGTACTACAGTATTTCTGCAATCCAAACACACAAACAAGTGGTGGCTTCGAATTATGATTTCTCTGCTATCCTTTTTCTTTTTTTAATCTTTGAAATTTTTCCTTAGTAAAACAATGAGTTTAGGACAAAACAAGAATAGTCACATAAGAATCATAAAAGTTGAACATTAAATATATATCAAGCCCAAAGAAATCAATTCAAAGAAGTTAAGATTAGCAGCATGCCTTTCTGACACTTTGCTAAAACAATGCTCATCAGCAAATTCCCACATAATGTGCATTACATTAAAAATTTTTTAAATCCCAATTTCTGTTAACCATTAAGTAAGAAGCTATCAGAAAGAATAACTCGTGGGTCTTCAGCATCACAATGGGAGAGAGCTAGGCCAGAACGTTAGTATCCACATTTTAAACCAAATGCTCTTACTAAAGCTACACTATATATGTGTACCTGCCCTTCACTTGTAAATGACCGCCACTGCCCTTGTCCCTTATAGTCCCCTTTCCAGCCATCAATGTCTTTAGAGTTCTTTCCTGCTGCAGACACCTCCCTTCAGCCCGAGTCCTATGCCACTGATGTCCTTCTATTCTCCCAATTACTCTTTCCTTTTCATCGCCCTCCTCCCTGCTCCCCATCCCCGCACATGTGTGTGGAAACTCACGTACCCCACACACACACACACATACACACACACACACTGAAACTCCTCCTGTAGAAGCTTATGAACTTTTGCTACACCTATCTTGGTCAGTTGGCTTTCTTTTTAGGGGTAAGGGGGGGTATATATATTATATATTATAGACACATATTCATTCTAGTAGAACAATGGTGAGCAAGGGTTTTCAGAACAATTCAAGAAACATTTACAGGCTGATCTTTTTGTTTTCATCCTAAATGAAAATTGCTTTATGAAAATTCATGAGGAAAAAATTGTATTTTAACAACTTCATTACCTTTATTAGTGAAAAACTGCTTTTTTGGGTCAAGGTAATTGGGGCAAACTGTCTTTTCCAAAGATGGCTGCAATAATCTCTCCACAGCAACATGTTATGATGTTGATATTCCAACCATCAGGAAGTGGGGTCTATGTTCCCCCTCCCCTGAATCTTGTGACTAGGACAAGATGATGCTCTGCAGTAGTATCCTATGTGACAGCCAAGGCAGCTTCTTACTCGCTAGCTGGGACACTTGCTCTGGAACCCTGAACTGCTAGGTAAGCATCAAACTGCCTGGAGAGAGCTTAAAGCAGCCCAGACAGAGACTCGGCCTGGAGGGGCCCTGAGATGACATGAAGACAGAGGTGTCTGACCGGGCCCCAGCTGCTCCAGTTGTTGCCACTATGGTACTAAGGGAGCCAGAATCGCCAGCTGAGGCTTTCTCAAATCCCCGACCCACAGAAAACAGGGAGAGAGAATGAAGCAATGTTGTTTTAAGCCTCTAATTTTTTCAGTCATTTGCTATACAGCAATAGATAATCAGAATGGTCATATCTGGGCACACTTGAAATGTAGCTACATTCTTCCTCTCTGAAATTGCATCCTGGGTTGAACTGCTACCCAAGAGCTGAGGGCTGTTTATCATCTGCACTGCAGGGAAGAGACTGTACACAGCGGCAGGGAGAATACATTTCCCCTTCTCCCATGCTGCAGCTGCCAAGTGGCTCAAGAAAGTAAAATAGGGCAATCAACCATCCCCCTGGGACTGAGGGGTTTCCCTGGATGCAGGACTTTTGGTGCTCACATCAGGACAGTCCTGGGCAAACTGGGACAGTGGATCACCTTAGGAATAACCCAGAAATCAGGGCTGGAAGGCTGGAGTATTTTGATCCCAGGGTCCTGGGATCAAGCCTTGCGTTGGGCTCCCTGCTCAGCGGGGAGTCTGCTTCTCCTTCTCCCTCCCCCAACTCGTGCTCGTTCTCAAGCTCTCTCTCTCTCTCACTCATTCTCCCTCTCAAATAAATAAGTAAAATCTTAAAAAATAAAATAAAATAATCCCCGAGAAGAAGCTGGCCCTCTGGGGAAGTCTACAAAACACAGCTTTTGAACCATACCTGTGACAAACAATCCCTGAACTTAACAAAGTCATACCACCCTACAATGCTAGACCTGAGCAGCTGGTGGGCCTCCCCATATAGACCGCCACAGCTCACCCTTCCAGGTGACTCATACCCACTCCCCGGGCCTCACTCTTGGGACTCAGGGCCTGTAACCCACCTCACCAGAAAGGAATATGGTGTTGCCTAAATACATGCATTCCACTCTCCTCTTGCCTCAGATGATCTGTTTTTTGAAAAAAGGGTATAGCCATATATCTCTCTTCTTCTCAACTTAGAGTAATGTACTAAAATTGGGAAAAGAGATACCTCCTCCCCCTTGCTCAGGCTGTCATTGTGGGGGCCCAGCCACCCAGTACAAAGAGGAGATGGACCTTTTTAGCTAGCACTTCACACTCTATCTCTCTGAGGGAAATCTGTCCTGCTGTGGTAAGGGCCAGTTTTTCATAAGCTAGCTATACCGCAGACAATATAATAAATAGCACAGCAATTATTCATGTAAGCATATCTACCCAGGCTCTCTATTTCTTTTAAACCACAATTTGTCTTATATGACCCAATATTCCTAATTTAGCCAAAATTTTTTCTTATTTTTTTGCTATTAAAAAATAAAACTAATGGAAGTTATACAAGCTTCAATTTCTCTTTCTGGGTAACTAACTTCCCTCTCATAGGAGTGATTAAGCCCTACCAAATGATTGCATTTGTACATTCACTAATCACCACTGAGGAATACCTAATCAGCAGCAAAAGAACTACAACCAAAGCCCTCAGATTTTAGCTCTTAATTGTCTGAAAAATACTAACACTCCGTTTATATTTTAAAAAAAAAATAAAGCTCAAATTTTCAGATTTTATTCACTTAAGCTAAGTTCTTCAGAACACTTTGCAGAAGGATGGAGGAGGGTTGAAAGCTAAGCTATTTCCAAGTTGATGAATCTAGTCAAAAGGGCATGGTTTAATTTCCTAATTTCCAGGGATAGTTACAAGACCTGTGACCTCTTATCACCATCCAAATGCAATGAATAAAACTAATCAGCTACCAAAAGAAAGTTATTTTAAAATAGTTTGTATATTTACATATACAAAGGATAAATACAATTACACAATCTAAAAATGCACTTAGGAAATTTGGGGAGGAAATGGAGGGAGGTGAATGCACCCCTGGGAGCATATGCATGAGTGAAAGGTCTTGACTTTGCAAAGAAAAATGTACTACTAAAAGAACCATATTCTAACAGTTTGCATTTTCCTCAAGATCTACTGTGTGTATTTTTAGCAACTATGAATAATACCATCAGAAAAAATAGCCATCTCACAAAATAACTTTATATAGCTTCTACTCTGGCTTTTTCCTTCCAAGTTGGAACAAAAGAACAATAAATATTGTGGAGAAAATCCTTTAAAACCACAATATATTAACCTCGTAAGCAAAGACTGAAATAATAAAGATTTGCCTACCTTAAATACTCTTTATTATAAAAGTAATATTGCTTACAATGGAAAAAGAGAAAAAAACACATAAGTCAAAAATTTTATGTCTTATCTAAGTGATTATATTAAATAGGAACTTAAAAGATATACACTATTGAAGTTTTTTGACAATATTTAACTGATCAGTTTTATATATTTTTAATAAGTAAGCATAAGAGGAAAATATGGCTGAGGCCTTTCTAGTTCCAGGAAATAAAATATTTAAATAACTAAAATCTTTTAACTTAAGTGCTTTAAAACTATATGTTTTTAAGCTAAGAAAAAAAAGTGATCGAGGCTCATTGTAAAAAATTCAAATATTAAAAGGGCAAAGGTAGAAATGAAAGTCTATCCCCTTCTCAGAAAAAAGTTTGTTTAGAGCTGATATCCTTCAAGTTTTTTTCTACATGTACAGAGATGATGACAGAGAAATTGGGATCATATTTATACACGCAGTTTTAAGCTTCTTTCCAAGATCTTAGAAGTTCTATGAGAGAAATAACTACATTTAAATATAGGAAAGCTACAATGTATACTGTACTGTTTTGTTTGCTAAGAATATAATTCTATAAGTAAATGACAAGTAAGAATACCAGAAAGATACTGAGCCAAAAAAAGGAGACTGGGTGGGGGTCTCTTCTTTTTTTCGAGGCAGGATATACATTCAGATATACGTGCTGAAGCAGGTGTGCACTCTAAGATACCTGCTTCAATCTCATTTAAAACAATCATGTGCTACCACTTTTAAGCTTAAGCAATGATATATAAAAATTCAACACATGATAAGCTTGGACATATTTTTAAGCTTCTTATGATGTAAGTGTAACACAAATACAGAGAAATACACAAGTCATAAATGTCCAGCTCAGTCAAGAAACAGAACATTACTAGCACCTGTGAAGTCCCCCTAGTATCCTCGTCTACCTCTTCAAAGGTAACCAGTACGCTTATTCTAGCAACATAGAATTTTGCCTGTTTTGGGAGTTTTATATAAGTAGAACAACCCAGTATGTATTCTTTTGTGATTGGGCTCCTTTATGTTTGTGAGATTCATCCATTCACATGTTGTGTATAGTTAGTTTGATTGGTGTGTCATATCCACTATGTGAATAAGCCACAATTTATTGACTCATTCTACTGTTGATGAACATTTGGGCTGTTTCGAGTTACTTGCTCTTTCAAATAATGCAGCCACGAACATTTCTGCATGTGAGTCTTGGCGCACACTTGCACATGCTCTTGTTGGATATATACCTAGAAGAGTAACTGCTTGGCCATAGGATAAGAGTCTGCTTAGCTTTAGTAAATGCTGTCAGGGTTCCAAGGCAAGGCACAACCTACACTCCCACCAGTGGTGTATGAGCATTCCTAAGTATGTGTTTGCTACTAGTATAAAGAAATACAATTGATTTTTGAATGCTCACCTTATATCCAGCAGTCTTAGAAATTCAATTAATGTAATATTTTTGTCTGTTAATTTTTTAGGAT